GATCTAGATGTCCAAGATTAGAAAAAAATCTTCAGTAGAAGTTGGAAGAAAGTAATTATGTATAATCTAGAAATACATGTTCGTGACCCCTCATTTGTTATAGTAATTATGACAAAAGATGTTTCCCTTGTGAATCCATTTTGTTTGTGTTGACTTATGATATTTTCTCAAGCCTCTGCACTGCTTGATCAGTTGTATTTCCAGAGAATTTAAGACAAGTGGAACCCCACAAAGCAGGAGGGGCATTTATGCTGAGACCAATCACATGGAGTGATGGACCTTGGTTATAGAAGAAGGTAGCTACTTGGTGATCCTGAAATCAGTCCTGGATCATTGATCAGAACTGCCACAGACACTGTCCTGAGGGTACCCACATGGCGAAGCTCACCATGGGTGGCTTTGTTTGTATTTAAAAATCTCTTCCACGGGCTCTGAGTCTATGCAAGTGCTCTTTTCTAATAAATGAGATAATTCACTGGACAGAAAGCCCAGTCAGGGCATCAAAGATCCCTGCATCTCTCCCGAATGACTTGGGGCCGAAGACATCAGACCTCGGTAGAAGAACCATCCTAACAAAAATAAACCCCTGGTTTGTCTAGCAATGCCTGGTGCAGAGCAGCCCAACAAACTGCTGGGACCCCACCCTTCACTCTGAGGGGTTCAAGGAGTCTGCCAGTGTCAAAGCCCATTTTGTACAGCAACCCTCCCATCATCACCTAGGCCTGTGACGTGACTCCTCCATCCACCAGGGACCCCTTTGAAGCCCACTTTAACCAACTAAAGGCATTCAGGATTTCTCTAGGGCTTGTCAGGTCAGTTAGGGGCACAGCTAAGACATTTATCTTTAAATGTGGATACTAGGTGGTGGTTAAGGTAGGCCAAGGAGTGGCACTGCAGGATCAGCACTGGACTGTTTACCACAGGGTCAGTGGTTGAAACCCACCAGCCGCTTCTCTAAATCCTTTACAGAGTCGCTATGAGTCAGAACCAACTTGACAGCACTTAACAACAAGGCAGTAGGATAGTAATTTGAGAGTCTTATTTGGAAAAGAAGCACATCAGTGATGAATTAGGCCCTAGGACATGGCCCTAGGACAATGCTGGAAGACAGTCCCAGGCCAAGGAGACTACTGGGGTCCATTAGGTGACCAAACAATTGAGCTAAGAGCTCTATTTTTGCTCTCACAGGGCCTAATCCAGAAGAAAAAAACATTCTGAAACAACTTCAATGTTTTTTAATTCAAAATTTATTGAGCACCTACAGTAAGTCAGCATCCAGCACAAGAGTGATTAAAGGAGTCAAGATCCACCAGTGACAAAGTGGGTGCCATTCCTTGCGGATGAGGAAATGCTGGTGAAACAGGAGCACCTGGGTGGCGCAAATGGCGAAGCGCTTGGCTTTGAACTCAAAGGTTGGAGATCCTAGTCCACCCAGAGGCACCTTGGAAGAAACCACTGTGGATGACCATAGCCTTAAAAACCCGACGAAGCACAGTTCTACTCTGGCCAGAGGAGAAGGGGAGAGCCTTGTCACATGCCCTCCTGGGACTACGTCTCCACAGAGAGCCACATACTGACCTTACCTTACGGTCTGCAAACAGGCACTCACCTCCCTTCCCTTCCCCCCTTGTGCTACGCATCTCCTGCTTTTGAATGGTGTCCTTGCACATCTTTCCAGGGTCTGGACTGGACTGTGAGGAGATGAGTCTCAGGCCCCGGGGCATCAAGGTGGCATGCAAAAATTTAAAGCACCCTTGGGGGACATGCGAGTACACTCCTTGGGGTGCTGATAAAGGATGTAAACAGCTTGATTTTGCCTCTCTGACTTGTGAGAGCTTGCTCCCACTTACCAGTGTATCTATCGTCTCTATTTGCACTTCTTCTGCTCTGCAATGTTGTTGTTGTTAGGTATCATTGAGTCGATTCCGACCCATAATGACCCCATGTACAACAGAAGGAAACATGTGTGCTATCCCCACAGTGACTACTGTTTGAAACCACTGTTGCACCTCTGAGTCAGTCCCTGTCATGGAAAGTCTTCCTCTTTTTGCTGACCCTCCATTTTACCAAACATGGTGTCCTTCTCCAGGAACGGGTCCCTCCTGTTAACATGTCCAAAGTATTTGAGACAAAGTCTTGCCAGTTTCACTTCTAAGGAGCATTCTGGCTGTACTTCTTCCAAGACAGATTCATTTGTTCTTCTGGTAGACCATGGTACTTTCAATACTCTTTGCCAACACCATAATTCAAAGGCATCAATTCTTCTCTGGTCTTCCTTATTAATAACTTTCCTGTGCATATGAGGGGACTGAAATGACTGGCTTGGCTCAGGTACACCTTAGTTCTCAAAGTGACATCTTTCTCTTTAACACTTTAAATGTTAGCATGTTAGCATGTTGCTTTTCTCCACTGGATCACAGTTCTACTGTGCCACACAGGGAGTCACCATGAGCTGGAATCCACTTGATGGCAACTGTTTTTTAAAATATATTTTTTTCCCAGCTGTTTAGAACAGTTGAGTCTAGTAATTGGCAAGTGATGACCTTTGGGACAAATCTAGCTATCTGTTTATGTAAATAAAGTATTACTGAAATAGTCACTACCATTAATTTTTCTATTGTTTAGAGCTGTTCTCAAGTTACAATGGCAGAGTGGAGTACTTGCAACAGACTTTATGGCTGATGGAGCTTAAAATATTTACTATTTTGCCCTTTTCAGGAAAAAAAAAAAAAAACCCCCCCCCCCCCCCCGGGTCTAGAGCTGTGAGCCCATAATTTTATTTACTTAACAGAATGTAAAAATGAAGAGTCCTGGGAACCCATGAGTTGGAATCAACTATGACAGTGGTGTGGTTTGTATGTTTTGGAGAATCTAGGCTGCCTGGAGTGGCATCTATAGTCTCATTACAGGGATGGCATAGACTTGGGGCAACAGCTCAAGTCTGGTGACTGGTAACAGCTGACTCCCAGAGTCATGTGGAAAAGTCATGTGGAAGGCTGTGTGTGTGTGTGTGGGGGGGCGGGTTGTGGGTACTTCCAGAAGGGTGGACACTTGGCCTCAGGAAAGTTAGGTGAGGAGCACCCCACTGTGAGCAACAGTGTCCAGGGTAAGCTTAGCACTGGTCTGAGGCTGGAATTGTAAACATAATCCTCACCATGGTGACTCGGAAGGAGGTGAGATTTAAGTATTTACACATGCCACTGTGTCCAGTGTGGTATAAGATTGGCAGTTCAAACCTACCAGCTGCTCCTCGGAAACCCTATACAGGGTCGCTATGAGTCAGAACCAACTTGACAACACTTAACAACAACACCATCCCATAACAAAAGCAGAGGACAGGCAGAAAAGCCAAGTTTAGTCTGAAGCTCTGGCTTTCATTAAGTCTCTTGTACTTGTGGAAGGAGCACTGGTGGCTCTATGGGATAGGCACTGGATTGCTCAACTGTAAGGTTAGCGGTTCAAACCCACCAGTTGCTCCACAGGAGAAAGATGAGACTGTCTGCTCCTGCAAAGATTTACAGCCTGGAAAGCCTACATAGCGCTGCCACTCTGAGCTGGAATCCACTGGAAGGTATTGAGTGGGTACTTGTCACAGTTCTAGCAGAGCAGCATCGTATCAGCCTGGGTTCAGGAGAGCCACACCTGGCTGTTCTGCACAATCAAGAGCCATGGAAATGTCCTGTTGTTGTTAAGTGCTATTGAGTCAGCTCTAGCTCAGAGCCACCCTGTATAGGGTTTCCGAGGGGCAGCTGGCAATTGCGCACCACCAGCCTTGTGGTTAGCAGTCCAGTGCTGATCCTACAGGGCGACGCTACTTAAAAATAAACACCCAAGGTGACAGTACCTGCTCACCAGTGAGAGCGATATAAAAGGTGGGCCCGCAGGTTATATAGATAATGCTTATATAGATGTGTTTTGTAAAAGCTGCATCTTGACACTTACTCATTATGCCAATATCATGTAATTCTGTGACGTCAAGGAATGGCTCTCCCCCTCCCCCCCGTGACCCCAATTTTTTTTTTTTTTTTAAGTGTTCATGAGTGCAAATACACTGTTGAAAGGTATATGGAGATCTAGTTTTGGGGAATCACATCATTTTTTCAGTGTACCAAGTATTTTGTTGCATATGCTAATTCTTTGTAAAGCCCATTAGCTATCCTTAGTTTAACTTTTGTGTAAATACAGATTTTTAGCTGTTGTTGGGCTTCAAGGCGAGGTATTTATTACTTGCAATCTGGCATGTTTAGGAGTCCCTGGGACATACAAACAGTTGGTGTGCTTGGCTGCTAAACAAAAGGTTGGAGGGTCTAGTTCACCTAGAGGTACTGCAGCAGAAAGGTCTGGTGATACATTTCTGAAAAACAACAACAGTCACTGAAAACCCTATGGAGTTCTCCTCTGACACATTGGGTCATAACGTGAGTTGGCATCAACTCTACAGCATCTCTATTTACTGCATTCTACCAAGCTGACTTCTTCTCACCACAAGCAGTACTGAGCCATTCTCAGGGCCCTGTTCCCTGAGAGTGTCGGTGTACACGGAGAGCCCAATAAGATGTATACTATGCTATTATACATGAATGTCTCATACAAGTTACTCAGCATCTTTCCTGCATTCAGCCTCTTGGCTTTCATTGTTTAATCTTCACAACATGGAAAGATGTTAATTTAGCTCTGGCTTAGTAGACTTAATTTTCATTAATAACTGAAATGACACTTAGAAATTGTATCAGTGTACTAAACTGTGTATTCAAAAAATATATCTTACCACTCAAGGTGGTTGAGATTTATTTGCATAAAAATGCCAGTATTTTTCCAGAAGCCCTTAGAAATAAACCACTGCTCACCTAAGGATGCAAGGAGGGTAGAGGTATGGCAACTGCGCTAGCGATCTTTAAAAGAGATGGACAACTACATTCTAAACAGACATGACCAAGAAAACCGGCCAGGCTGTCATTCAAGGGGCAGACGCCTGAGCCTGGGTCTGAGTTTGTGTGCCTTCAGATGTAGAATTCCTCCATTTCTCCATCTCCAGGACCAGCCAGTGCTGGGGGTGGTGGGATGTCTCTGCTAGAAATGTCACAAGAGGGCTCCTGGGATGACTCTGTGAAGGAGGAGACAGTGACGGATGCCACTGAGGAGCTGGAAGACCCTTTGGTGAAGAAAGGAAGGGAAGACCCTGAGTGCTCAGGGGTCATTGTGCTCACAGTGGGCAGTAGTCCCTCCCTGGAATCCTTGTGTGAGGGCCAGCAGCTGCCGCCTGTGTCTGAGGGGTGGTGTGTCTCTACAGAGCTGCAAAACCTACTGGGTGCCGAGTAGGCAGAGACCACAGAGAGGTCTGAGGAGGACAGCCTCAGACCCGTGTCCACATCGGTCTCCTGAGCTCCCTCCAAGTCGTCAATGGAGAGGAGTTGGCCGTGCCTCCACTCTGCTGCCCTGTGCCCGAGGGGACCTGTGCTTGGCAGCGACTGTGGTTCAGCAATGGAGCCTGGAGAGGGGCCTCCCAGGGGCAAACAAAACAAAGACTTGCTTCTCTGGAAAGACCAGGGGTGGCTGGGAGGGCTGGCCACACGCCTGGTGAATCCCTGCTGATTCCCGTGAGGCAGGCCCGCTGGCGCTGGCGCTGTGCTGCTTGGAGAGGAAACAGGAGATTTCTTTTCCTCCGAGTGGTGAGCTCTGCTGGGTTTCAAAACCTTCTTGTGCGCCCTTTGTGCCTGTTGGGGAAAGAGGACAAACACATCACATGAGTGAAGGGCTGGGGTCACCTGCTGATGGGGTTTCATGGTTCTGAAAAAAATGTTTCCATTTCCCTGGAGCCAGAGAATTCTGGGTCCTTGGAGTCAGGCTGACCCATCCAGGCCATCTGCCCTTAGGTCTTCCTCTGAGCCTGGAACCTTTAAAGAACGGGTTCCCCTGGCCTCACCCCTTCAGGACAAACTATAGTTTAGTAAACAGCTTGCCTCAGAATTAGGCAATTTGAAGAATTATCCATCCATACAGCCAGCTTGGAGAAGGAGGGACCTCAGAGTCTAAATGGAAGCTATGTTTTAGGGTACACACATACCTCAGAGAGTCTGTGGGTGCCACTCCAAACCAGCACAATAAAGTGAGCCACATGATTTATTTTGTTTTCCTGTGCATGTCAATGTTATGTTTCTATTGTATGTATTAAGTATGCAGCAGCATTATGAAGTTTTAAATATTGTGTTGTTGTTGTTGTTAAGAACCGTTGAGTTGGTTCCCACTCATAGTGACCCTGTACAGGGTTTCTGAGGCGAGACTGGTGAGTTTGAACTGCTAACCTTGCGGTAGAAACCGACTTTGCAGTCCAGCGCACTAATCCGCAGCGCCACATCAAGAATATTGTAAGAATTATTGAAATGTGACACAGAACACAAAGTGAGCACATGATGCTGGGAAGTTGGTGCGAACAGACTTGCTTGATGCAGGGTTGCCACAAACCTTCAGTTTGGTAAAACCACAGTATCTGCCAGGTGTAATAACACAAGTTCTGCCTGTATAGGGCACAGGCTTCGTGACTGTTCTCCCAGGGCTTCAGACCAATTCATTCTGGTGCGATTAACCCCCGCACCAGAATCCGCTTTCCATTCCTTATATACTGAATCAGATTCTGCATTTTATTAAGATTCCCAGACGCATACATAAGAACCACCTGAGGAACTTGTTAAAATGTAGATTCCTGGGTAGAAATACAAATTCTCCCAGGGGGTAGAACCAGAATGAATCGGTTGGAAGCCCTGGTTTTTATAGACTGTCCCTGAAGTACTTCAGATACTCTGAGAAACCAACATGGAAACCATTTACAATGACCTTCAGGAGACTATTCTGCCCGTTGTTGTTAAGTGCCATCAAGTGCCACTGAATTGAATGAAACATTGCAGTCCTGTGCCAACCTCACAACTGTTGTTACATTTGGGCTCATTGCTGCTACCTCTGCACCAATCCATCTTGCTGGAGATCTTCCTCTTTATTGCTGACCCTCCACTTTACCAAGCATGATGTTCTTCTCTTGATAACGTCTCAAGTATGAGGGATGGAATATCACCATCCTGGCTTCTCTGGCTTCTAAGGAGCATTCTGGCAGTACTTCTTCCAACACAAAGTTGTTAGTTCTTTTCTTCTGTTAGTCCATGGTTCTTTCACTATTCTTCTCCAACACCATAACTCAAATGTACCAATTCTTCTACAAGGCTCGTTATTCACTGTCCAACTTTCACCTGCATGTGAACTGACTGAAAAATACCATGGCTTGGTCAGGTGCACCTTCTGGGACCACCTATATGACCTATTTTCAGTATCTTCTCTTTGCCTATTCAAATTATACCAGCTCACAAGAACTCTATTGTTATATTAATTTTTGGACTTTGTGCATAGAGAATTTTAACATTACTTGTCATGACAAACACCTCCCCGTAACCAGAACCTTTCAGCAATTTCATGGCAAAAAAGTACTACCAGAAATTTTATTCTCTAAATTCTAAAGCCGAGCAGAGTAAGAGATACAGTGGAGGGACTTTTCGTCTAAGATGTCATCTCCTGGCCGAGGGGGAGAGTCAGCTCCCCTTCACTCCTGGGAATAAAACTTCCCAGTCAACACATGCAAAAGGCACTCAACACAGTAGCCATAAGTTAAAGACCTGACTGAGAACTGTAATGAAGATAAAAGAATTGTCATTAAATTCAAGAACAGTGCTTGGAGGGCTTGGGTCTCCCTTTAGCCAGAGAATCACACCGGAGCTCATAGGTAGCGTGTTTCTGATGAACAGGTGGCAGTATAGTAAGGATCATGCACAGGCAGTTTCAGATCAGGTCAGCTTGGGACTTGATTCTAGTCCAGGGGTGACAGCCAGATATAACCCAGGCTCATTAGTTGATGTGACAGCAACGAGTTTTATCAGGAACTACTGATTCTTCCAGGAGGCCTCATGTGACACTATAGGAACACCAATGGACTGCTAAATGCAAGGTCAGCCGTTGAAAACGACCAGCTGCTCCTCAGAAATCCTATGCAGGGTCACTATGAGTTAGAACCGGCTTGACGACACTTAAGAACAGTATCAACAACTGATTGCTCCGAGTATATGTGTGTGTGTGTGTGTGTGTGTGTGTGTGTGTGTATACAAAGTCTTTTAGAAACTATGTACAGGAAAGGGACTCACTTACTACGGGTAACCCCCACCCCCCTTTAACATCTCCCATAGTCCTCCTCTTCAGTACCCTACCCTCCCTCTGTCCTCACTGCAACTCGCTCAGGAACCTGTGTCTGTGCATGGAACTGGGGTCCTCTCTCTCAAGGCACATTTGCACCTGGGTGGGCTTCTCTCCAATCCTTCCCCTGGTCTGACTCAGCACCTGCACCTACAGGCAGCTTTACTATGCAAAGTTCCAATTAAATACAGAATGCAGCTGCAGTGGGCCTGGCCTTATTTACTACAGGATGGTGTGGTTCATGAATCCCTGAGATAGGCAAAAGGTTCTGAATGAGGTTCACTCTAACGCAGGGGTGGGGAACATCTGGCCTGAATCATTTGGTCTGGTCCTGCCAAGGCAATTGCAGTTCCAGCCATCACACTGTTGTTGTTAAGTACCATTGAGTTGGTTCCAACCCATAGTTACCCTGTATGGAGTTTCTGAGGAGTGAATGGTGAGCTTGAGCCATCAACCTTGCAGTTCAAACTGACTGCAGTCCAGCACATTAACCCGCAGAGCCACACCAGGATTCTAGCCATTATAGCAGGCCTTTTTTTTTTTTTTAAATAGAAATAATGATAAATGTTTACTAAGGAAAAAAGAAAAAATCCCCTGAGAATAATCACAATTATGTTGTTGATGTTCCAACTCACAGCAACCCTGTATAGGGTTTTAAAAGAGCAGCTGGTGAGTTTGAACTGCCAACCCTGCAGTTAGCTCTCTAGTACTTATCCAAGAATGCCACAGCAGAATTTTATTACAATTATATCTGGGGATAGCAGGCTGATTGTTTTTTGTTTTTTTTTTAGGTGGTCAATTACTTTTTTTTTAAAAATGTTTTATTGTGAATTATATGATAGTTTACATGGGAGAACATTAGTTTTACATTCATCCTATCATATATCGTTTCATTGCCATGGTTACAACAGGCCGATGTTTAAGTTGATAATTTTATTTGACCCGTGAATGATACTATAAATATCCAAATGGCCCTTGGCAAAAGAAAGGTTCCCAGCAGGTTTTAAGACACAGTCTTTCCTTAGAAAACCAACACCCCTCCTCCAGATTAAACCAGAACCTGGTTTTCCCACAGGCACTTGGGGACTTTGGTCTAATGTAATACACATTTACTGTTTACTTACTGTGGGATAAGCATTAAACTTCTAACCTCAAGGCCAACTATTTGAGCCAACCAGCTGCTCCTTGGAAACCCTAAAAAGGGTTGCTATGAGTTGAAATCAATTCAATGGTCATTATTGTTAAGTACCATTGACTCGTTTTCGACTTATAGCAACCCTGTATAGGGTTTCCAAGGAGTGGCTAGTGAGCTTGAACTGATGACCTTGTGGTTCAAAGCAACCTTGCAGTCCAGCACATTTACCCACAGCACCATATCAGGACTCCAAATTCAGTGGTAGGGTTTTTTTTTGTTTTTTGTTTTTTTTTTTGTGTGTGTGTGTAAAGGGAGCCCTGGTGGCACAAAAGGCTAAGCGCTCAGCTAGTAACCGACAGGCTGGTAGCTGAAACCCACCCATTGGCTCCACAGAAGAAAGACAGGCAATTCAAGATTACAGCCAAAGAAACCCCATGAGCAGTTATATTCCATCACACATGGGCATCATGAATCAGAGTGCCAACTCAGCAGCACTTCACCACACCACCACCACTGTGAGTAGAGGAAGGGAAACAAGCACCAGAAAGACTGTCTTCAACCACATGAAGCTCCCGTTTGACTGAGGGAAGAAATAACGCAGACAAGATAGAACCATCAGGGGTCAGGAGGTGACCCGACAGGGAGTGTCAGGGGATGGGCAGCTGTGTTCCTGGAGGGTGGCATGATGGGGGGAGACCAGCACAAGCAGAGGTAGGTGAGGCTGGTGAGTGAAGGGCCTGCATGGGGCAGTCTGGTTAAGAGTCTCAGGTGTAGGAAAAGCAGTGAGGAAAGACCAAGCTGGAAATGGAGACTGGACAATTATTGCTCTAAGAAACCTTGATTACTTGGGTGTGAAATCCACTCACTTATCCTGCCGGAGTCAGATTCAGTTCTTTCTTCTACATAGTAATATATGCAAATCATATATCTATATATAAATGGTGGTAGTGGTATGCCGTGGAGTTGGTTCTGACTCATGGTGATCCTGCATAGGGTTTTCAAGGCTGTAAATCTTTACTAGACTGTCCCCATGAGTCAGAGGCAACTCTTTGACAACTAACAACAACAGTGTTGGATGAAAAAGAAAAATAACTCATCAATAAGTGAAGAGATTTCTGAAACTAGGCAAAGACCTTGGAAATCAATGATTTATATATATTTATAAATGCATATAA